GCCAACATACAATTTTCAGTATGTTCTTCCTCATGTATCCTGTATGCGATGGGCCTCTGTCTAGTCAAAGGGTTTCATTTTTCCTCACTTCTTAACCATATACAGGAATTTTCCTCCTCAATTTCCCACCATTCAGAGAGCTACTGTGACATAAGCAACAAAACACTAGTTCTCTGTGTTAAATGCCACATTTGTGCCATTATAGATTTCAGCAGATTAACAGGCATCTCCCAGAAGCTATTGGAAATGCATGGATTCTAACCAATTGATACTGATGAAAAATACATAAAGAAATAGCCTTAAGATTAAGTTATTTAATGATATTTGTATATTATTACATATACATTTTTAATATTTTAAAGTTGTGATGAAACAGAAGTATAGCGACAGATTTTTTTTCCATATTGTGATGTGCATGCAAGTCAGATATCGGAAAAGAAAAAATGCAGGGCGGTGACTTGATTCTATGCATCAGTTTTTGATTGGATGTTGAGATGAGGGCGTTGCACTCAAAAGAGGAGGATCAGTGTTGCCAAGAATTGGGCTACTTTTACACTGTTGCCGCGGGTTAAAGCGACACCCCATCCCCGAGACTCGATTTTTACCCCTGGGAACTTGATTTTAACTTCCCACACCCCCGGCGATTGGGCTAGTTTTGGCCGTGATTGGGCAAGTTTTGGATAGCCATTGGGCCGGTTTTTTAAGCAAACCTGGAAACCCTGATGCAGAGGAATGTGAGCTTGCAGGGGCAGAGTCGTGGGCTAAATTATTGGAAGATTGGAAGTCCTGTATACATCACCAAAAAGAAGTCTGCCGTTTTCAAGGGAAGGTTATTACATTTTGATTAAACATTATGAGCAGGGTCGGTGCTTGGTCGCACAAAGTCGGCAGGGCAGCGGCATAAAGTGTACAAAATAGTACAAAAATAGAACAATTTAGAAAAAAACACCTTGTGTTTTATCTGTACTACTTTTATGATATTTGCTGTCTCTTTAACTTGATAATTTTCATCTTAATGTCTTCAAAAAAGGTGTAAAAAAAGTCATACAGTTTGCACTATTGCCACAAAATGATCTGCTCAACACATTTGCTAGTTGAAATCACAGATTTTTGGACAGTATGTTTTGAGATTTTCATCTCCCGTTCCTCTTCTTCTGGCTCCTCCTCTTCCAGGCCTCTACTCCTCTCAGTACAACACAGGAAGGCAACTGCAGAGAAAAATAAGAACATGTGTGGACCGAGACCATGATACACTACTATTTAATGAGACCAGCCTCCCACTTTACACTCTACAGAGACAGACAACTAATGTACAGCCTGAGGGGATGAAGGTCTCCAGAGGATTTCCACTACAGGCTCTGAATAAATGACCAACATGCTCTGTCTTTATTAAAGCCTACGCTTAATTCGGTTCCCAGTACCTTCCCTGACCTTACAAGAAATTGTGAAAGTTAAAAAATAAGTGATTTTTCAGGCTTGTGATTGTAGAGACTGCTCTGAGAAACTTGAACTAGATGAGCGTCATCCTGTATCCTCCCACATTGTGTCTCCCTTGTGTACTAAGGCTGGCTTCCTGTAAGGTCTCTTTTATCATGACCGTGTTGGCTGAATCTCTGTGGCTTGGTTGTGAGCGGTAATTGGGTATGTTTTTTTAGCTTTCTTCAAGCTGGGCCTTAATTCTTTAACCATTTTCCCGCCTAAACTCTGCATTTCTGAAATGCCACTGTGACGTGAAAATAAGTAATAGATGCAAAAGCGAGAATTATATGTTTATTGACCACAAGTGAGAACAAATCCAAAACAACAGGTGAAGAGCACATAATCTGGGTGACGTAGGGACGTTGAATTGGCAACCCGATCAGCCGTGAGAGACAGTGAATTCATGAACCGTGACAGCCACACCCTGTGTCCCACATCCCTTCTTAAAGGGACAGTTCACCCACAAATGAACACTCTGCCATTATTATGCATGTTGTTTCAAACCTGTATGACTTTGGATCTTGCACACCAAAGAAATTTAGCAGAACGTCTGGGTTGTTTTCTATACGGTGAAATTTAATTGTGACTCGTCAAACTTCAAAAAGGACAGGGGAATAAAACAGCATAAAAGCTTAATAAAAGTAGTCCACGTGACCTTGTGACATTCAACTATATTTCTCCTTTTGTGTTTTATGACTTTATATCATGGATAAGAGAAAGTCATAACAGCATCCATCCATCCATCCATCCATCCATCCATCCATCCATCCATCCATCCATCCATCCATCCATCCATCCATCCATAACATCCATACATCCATAACATACATACATACATTACATACATACATACATAACATCATACATACATTACATACATAAGATACATGACACATACATAACATCATACATACATGACATACATACACATACATACATACATAACATGCATAACATACATGATCCATCCATCCATCCATCCATCCATCCATCCATACATCCATACATAGATACATACATACATAACATACATACATAACATACATACATACACATACATTACATACATATATACATAATTTACATACATACATAACATACATACATACATGCATACATAACATACATAACACATAACATACATGCATACATAACATACTTGCATACATAACATACATACATACATAACATACATACATACATACATAACATAACATACATACATAAATACATACATAACATACATAACATAACATACATACATACATAACATACATACATACATACATACATACATACATACATAACATACATACATACACATACATTACATACATACATAACATACATAACATAGCCTACATACATACATAACATACACACATAACATACATACATACATACATACATACATAACATACATAACATAGCCTACATACATACATAACATACACACATAACATACATACATACATACATAACATATATAACATACATACATAACATACACATACATAACATACATACATACATGCATACATAACATACATAACACATAACATACATGCATACATAACATACATAACATACAGTGCTGAGGTGATTTTGTCCTTTTTTTATTGTATCCTCAAGTAGTGAGCATTAAAGCGCTTCAGTGCAAAAAAATGGGGTTCTCATCCCCAGTATAAACTTACACCCACTATTCAAGGTGAAATGGGAAAAAAATCATTCATAAATGGTTCGAAGCGTCTGTGGTGCAGGCTGAGATCTGTAGGCTGTCTGTATATGGCTGTACTGCAGTGAATCATGGGAAGCTAAATTAGCAGCCGACTCCAAGGCTCACGTGTGTGACGTAGGCAGAAGCTGACTGCATTTTTCAGCAAAACCTGTGTGAGGTTTTGAACATATTTACTTGAACAGGGAAGTATGGAAGCTTGTTTCCGCCACTGAATAAAAAAAAGAAAAAAATAATTGCGACTTTTTATCTCACAATTGCGAGATATGAAGTCAGAATTGTGAGAAAAGTCGCAATTGCGAGGAAAAAAAGACAGAATTGAGACTTTTTATCTCACAATTCTGATTTTTTTCCTCACAATTGCGAGTTTACATCTCGCAATTCTGACTTTATAACACATAATTGCGAGTTTATATCTCGAAATTCTGACATCTTTTCTCAGAATTGTGAGATATAAACTTGCAATTGCGAGTTATCAGGCCAATTCAAAAAAAAAAAAAAAAACTAACTTTTTCCCCCTCAGAATAGTTTATATCTCACAATTCTGACTTTACAACACGCAATTTCGACTTTATATCAATCAATTCTGACTTTATAACACCCAATTGCGACTTTATATCAATCAATTCTGACTTTATATCTCGCAATTCTGACTTTGCACGCAATTGCGACTATATCACGCATTTCTGACTTTATAACCAGCAATTGCGACTTTATATCAATCAATTCTGACTTTATATCTCGCAATTCTGACTTTACACGCAATTGCGACTATATCACGCAATTCTGACTTTATAACCTGCAATTGCGACTTTATATCAATCAATTCTGACTTTATATCTCGCAATTCTGACTTTATAACATGCAATTGCGACAATATCACACAATTCTGACTTTATAACCTGCAATTGCGACTTTATATCAATCAATTCTGACTTTATATCTCGCAATTCTGACTTTACACGCAATTGCGACTATATCACGCAATTCTGACTTTATAACCTGCAATTGCGACTTTATATCAATCAATTCTGACTTTATATCTCGCAATTCTGACTTTATAACATGCAATTGCGACATTATCGCGCAATTCTGACTTTATAACCTGCAATTGCGACTTTATATCAATCAATTCTGACTTTATATCTCGCAATTGCGACATTGGTCACACAATTCTGACTTTATTTCTCAGAATGATGTAATGAGATGTAAACTCGCAATTGTGAGAAAAAAAGTCCGAATTGTCAGATAAAAAATTATTTTTCATTCTGTGGCGGAAACAAGCTTCCATAGGGAAGGACTGAAATCTCAATAAAATAGGACAACGTATTATATATGTAGCTTCTTAATCTCAAATCATGCTAAAAAACAGTTTATTAAAGAATAATATATAATGGTTTGACTCTGTATTGTTGTATTTATTTATTTTGCTGTTAAACATTAGTGCAAGGTCTAGCAAGTGTGCAAAACAAAATTAGGTAATTAATAAAATAGATCATTTTAAAAATAATGTTTGTCAGTTAATTTCGTGTCATTGGTGTTCACTGTTCTGTAGTATTTTTAAAATACAAATAGTTGTGGAAAAGTACTTCCAAGGTCAAAGTTCAGAGTAAAAAGAGGCTGTTCAAGTGGACACATGGTGATTTTCCCACCAAATCTAGAGAATCACTGTTTACACTATTATTGCTCAAATTACAGTTCCAGTTCTCAGTTTCAGCTCTTATGAGTGTCCGTGTATTCATTCAAAAGGATGTTTAATATTCATGTGTTTTCCTTGTTTTTATAGATTCTCCTGCTTTTGATTTTCTGTTCCACCATCAGCCATGTTGATTATTTTGGCCGCCATCATCCTCTTCCACATCACCTCCGCAATACTACTCTTCATAGCAACCATCAGAAATGCAAGTTGATTTTTCTTTTGTCTTTTTTAATTAATCTGCTCTTACTGCTCATTGTTAGTGTTAGGGATTTCAGCAAAAAATCCCAGCAAAACTCTCGGGATTTCAGCAAAAAATCCCAGCAAAACTCTCGGAATTAAACTTTGGTGTTTAAGTCATCCAGCACCGTTTCTGCTAAGGTTACCTCAAATGGTGCAGCATGCTGTAATTTTTCAAAGCAATCGAACTAAAGATTTTCTGCTTTAAATAAATAAATACAAATATTTTGGAGCATGTTTATTCATGTTATTTGAGCATGCTGGCTTCATCAGTTCTTGAGATGTTTATTTTATTTAATATTTTTTTATCATGTAACATCAAGAAGTTAAAATGGCATAATTTTTCTAGGTGTGTGTGTGTGTACAGGTTTATATTACATAGTGGGGACCAAATGTCCCCTCAAGCCTAAGGATAGTAAAACCTGAAATCACCTATATTGGGAACCAGCCAGCGGTCAGGGAAATGGATAAACATACTAAATTATGTTTTTCTTTTAAAATGTAAAAATGCAGAAAGGGTATACCTACAGGTTTAGGGGTAGGGATAGTGTAAGGGCAGAGAATATATAGAGGTTGTACAGTATAAAAACCATTATTTCTATGAGTCCCCACAAAGATAGTGAAACCGTGTGTGTGTGTGTGTCTCTGTGTGTATGAATGTATATGTGTATAAAGTCGTCTCATATGCTCACCAAGGTTGCATTTATTTGATCAAAAATACAGTAAAAATTGCAAAATATTATTACAAATCAAAAGAACTGTTTTCTATTTGAATATTATTTCAAAATGTAATTTATTTCTGTGATGACAAAGCTGAAATTCAGCATGTAGCTAAATAAATGCAGCCTTGGCAAGCATAAGAGACTTATTTCATAAACATAAAAAGATTGCAATGTGTCCAAACTTTTGACTGGTACATTCTGTTTATTTTATATTATATAAAGTAAAACTAAAACTAAACTATTCTCCATCTTTTCTAGGAATGGTGGGTTTCGAACAACTACTCCTTATATCTCTGGTATTACTGCAACACCACAAACTGTTATGATATACCAAACAGTGCAACCTCTGATGCAGGTAGGCCTAGATTATCATAAAATCTAAAAATTGAACCAGTATTTATTTATTTTATATGAACCTTATGTCAAGTTCTCTTCTTCTTTATCAGCCTATCTTCAGACTGTCCAGGCCACCATGATACTGGCCACTATCTTGTGCTGTGTGGGTTTCTTTGTCTTCATCCTTCAGCTCTTCCGTCTGAAGCAGGGGGAAAGATTTGTCTTTACGGCCATCATCCAGCTCTTGTCCGGTGAGGTCATGCCCACATTATATATATATTAAATCATCTTTATCAGCACATTTGCGATTTCTCAGTTATTGCCTATGTACTATGCAAGTCAGCTGGTCATTACACAAGACAAGTTAAAGGAGGTCTTGAATCACCTTGAAGTGGGTGATTTTGTGACTAAACAATTATTTGACAGTCACTTTTTTTCTAGTCTGTAAATTGCCCCAATTTGGAAATTGTTTGGGCCCCAATTTATAACTCCATGAAACACCTTGATTGTATATAGTCTTGAAATTTCCCAATATCTTTCATTTAGATAATTAAAGGCATACACAAATAAAAAGGTCATTAGTAGCTTTACATTTCAGAAAGCAGTTGACCAATACCAACGAACTGGTCTAGCCGACCAATCAAAGCACATTGTGCTTTTCGGAAGGAGGGGCTTTATAGAGACAGGAACTAAACATAGCGTTACTTACAGACTGGGTAGAGAGGTGCTGCAATAATGTAAAATATGTGAAAAATAATGTTTTTTGAACACACAGGGATGAAAACCTGTTCTAGTTGGACACCCCCCCTCCCCCCAAAAAAAAAAAAATCAAGACTTTGTAAAAGAGCATAATATGGCTTTTATAGGTTACCTACTATGTATTACTAACATTTAAATGAATCACGTGATACAATACATTGTATACACACAGTACATGTTTTTACATTGTACTTGTATTTTAAAAATACCTGCATGTGAATACAGCTATAATTAATTTGTGTAATCAATGATCTATAACTACACTATTGACCCTTCCCTTCCCTTAAACATATACCACCAAACCTGTGCCTAACCTTACCCGTATCCCATCTCAATAGCAGCAAAAGTGTTTTGCAATACAATACGAACACAATAAGTACCTAACAGTTGTTTTTGAAAATACATAGTACTGTAGTTAAAGGAACCTAACATAAAGAGTGAGCAATGTTGGCATCTGTTTTAATGTTTGTTGAATGTTGAATCTGTATCTGCCACATAACAGGCTGTGAAACTGATATGGCAATCAACTGAAATGCAACCAACAAACCAACTGTAAATGGCCTCTTTTTTCTTTACTTCCACAGCCTTCTGTGTGATGACCGGTGCGTCCATCTACACAGCAGAGCACTTAAACTTTAACAAAGGTGGGAATTTTCAGAATGGAGAGTATGGGTACGCCTTCGTCGTCGCCTGGGTCGCCTTCCCCATTACATTTCTGAGCGGCTTGATGTATCTAGTACTAAGAAAACGCAAATAAAGCGCAACACACCACCTCGCTAGCTGCCACCAGCTACAGACTTAGCCAAGAGACTTTATTTGTAATGATACTTGTTTTTATGTAGATTAAATACTTGCCAATGTTAGAATGAAGTAGATCAACTTGTAATATTAATCACTGCATACTGGAAACCTAATTAGATTCGATTCATAGTAGCCTATGTCACTTTTCTTTTTAAAAACCTTTTTGTGTATAATTTAGTTCTACCTGCCCAGTAAAATAAAAATAGTGCTGTGACTTAGAGTTAAAATAGGGAGTGGAAAAAGACACGAGTGGGAGATATAATAGGACATATTTATAACATGGAACCACTATGGGCCTGACATGTATTTTTTACTCAATACATGGTGTGAAATTGGCCTTATACGTAACACTTAGTGTGTAGTAAATAACATGCTATAGTGTGATATTTCCTGGTCATTATATATGTGCTTGGGGAAAAAAGTAACTAAAAACAACTAAATCTGAAATATTGTGCTGGCAGTTTGCTGAGCACTATATCATACTTGAAGCTGAACAAATTGTCAATTTTAGTAGCACGATATGTTCTCGTGTATAGTTTTTTTTTTTTTTTTTTGTAAAATAGTTTTTTTAGTGTTGACTAATTATATTGCATGTTTTTATTTGTTTGCAGCATTTAATTTGAAATCATTATTAACATAAGTACAGATCTGTAGTTCTTAAGGCATTGTGTTTGATTGGGGCACTTGGGATATGCGTCATATTCAGGCAAATAACCTGAAGATGATGGTGTTGGTGAAGCACACCAATGGGTTCAGTTTTCCTGTCTTGTATGTAATCTTTTCATCCTCAAATCTGCTATGGAATAAAAAGCATTTAGCTAAAATTATTTAGGCGAAAGTGAAGTTAAGCTGTATTTATTATGACTAACTGCATTGTTGCTGTTAATATTTTTTTTAATGAAGTATTATATCAACAGGCCTGAACATTTTTGTTTAATGCTGACTTTTCAGAAGGTTTTAATAAATAGTGAAGGCTTTTGTAATTGGAATGAAACCACAATGTGGCAGCTTTGTTTTTTTAAACGTCTGCTGACTTGTTCAGGTCTGCTCTGTTTCTGGAGACTGATCCCCACCAAGGGCTCAATATTGTTCTTTTTTAATCAAATAAATGTATTTTACATTAAAAACCGTTTGAGACTCTCTTTCTGTTTTGGAGTACAGCAAAATACTGCTGGGTCATTCTCAAAATATGGTGACAAATATGATCCAAGACAATTTAGCCATGAAAAATATTTAAATGTAAAAAAAAAAAAAAAAAAACAGGCAAAAAAATGATTGTCAAACCATTTAATACATAAAATGTCAAGTTTTAGAATAAAGCATTTTCAGAGCAAAGCCTTTTATTCTGAAACCTGACATTTTATGTAATAACAGAAATGGTTTGACTATAAAAAAATATATATGCAGAAGTGCCTGAAAAAAAAATCTCTCATCCCCTTCGTCTGGTGCAAATGCCACTTCTGTGACATTTTCAGTTTTTTATGTTTAACTCATTTTGCTTCTCCAGGTTAAGCATAAAGTCTTTAAGTGTGCAAAGGTCAGACAATGCTACTCTTAACATTTGAGGAAAATTATATTTTATGGAAATTTCACAGTTGTTACAAACATCACTTCATCTGTGAAATAAAATAAAGATGAAATCAAGATCTAAATAAATACCAAAAATCAGCTCTTATGGCAGAAAATGGAACAAAGCTGAAATTCAAGACTTCAACATTTATAAAGTCATAAGTCTTATTTCTAAGACTAGTATAGACTCAATGAACATTGGCTTTAGTGTTATATTTTCATTCGAGCATGAAGTAGAATCCTCAAATGCAGTCATTACAGGAAACAAATGTTGTCTCAAATGGTTTTCTGCCACTTACATTAGACATAACAATCAGATTTCACTCCTGTCTATTATAGCTAGTGATTGCTTTGTTGACTCATACCGCTGAAGACTTCATGTTATGAAGGCCAGAGGCAAATTAAATCATTTTGTAACTTTATAACCAATTAAAACAATACAAGACAACAGCTTTTTTTCCGTAATACTTCTGTGGTAGTGCCTTTCAAATATAACATGAAGGACTTTCGGGGCTTTCTGACATTTAAAAGAACAAAGAAAAACAAACATTCTCTTGCCAGAGAAAGAAAAACAACTAAAATACAAAAAAGGAGAAAAACAGCAGCTTCAACTTTATTTTTTTACTGAACTCAACATCTTTTGAGAAATTTAAATCTTAAAAAATGAATTATTCCATATTCCAATATAAAGAGTCACGTTCATCCTACCTGAATCCTTATATGAACAAGAGTTCTGACACACTAGAGAATTGTTGCCAAAATCATATTTGTCCTGGTGCAACAGTATGTATGTCACTGTACGGCCCATAACGGCCAAATATATCCTTCCCCACAACAGTAAAACACAGTCGTTTATCTCCTTTGCAGTCAGACACCTTGCAGGCCATAGGAAGAGGCATGGCCTTGATCACTCCGAGGCACTTCCATTCTGAAAAAGTGCAGTTTTTGTGTTCATGGGAAACGTAAATGTAGTAGCAATCCATCTCAGCTGCGTGGGGATCTTCCTGTTTAACGTTCCACGCAATGCCTAATTCTTGTGCACTTCCAATCCGAGCTAGTTTCACCATTGGCTTCTGGGGCAAGTTATGAGAGGCAGCTACAACCGGAAGCTCCTTGGGGAACGGAGTGTGCGGAAAAGGATGGAGTTTGGAGTGCCAGTCCTCCTATTAAAGAAAGGTATAACTGAAATGTTATGGCTGTTATGACATAAAACTTAGTGGTGTAGTAGCACATACAAAAGAATTGCTTACCTTTTCCGACTGTACTGGAGAAATGACACGGTTCTCCTCCATAACGCTCTGATTTTCTTCTGTTCATTTAAGAAAATTACAGTAAAAAAGACTCGAAGACTTGTTAATATTAAGAAAAAAGAATAAACAAAAACAAACATGATAAATTCAATGGAATCATACCTTTAATGGCTTTGGGTGGTGTACTTGAGGGTTTTGATGGTTCTGGTTTTGAAGGTACCAATTTCTGCAGAGCACAAATGTGAAAACAAAACAGTCTGAAAATGTTGCAGAATGAGAGAGAACCCGAGAGAGAGCATGATGGCGTACCTGATCTGGTGGCTGGGTAAGCAGACTCTCTTCATTCAGTCTGGCTGCTGAACCAGAACAAAAACACATCATACAGTCAATACAATTGTTTATAAAGTCATTTGATTTGAATTCAAGATCAAATACCTCTGTCTTCCTCCGTAAGGTCAACAACCTGTTTCTTAGACCGCTGAAATGAAATGAGAACGGTTTTCCAATTTGAAGTTTATATATAAACAATTTTAATCTATTGTCTCCAGCACGGTCTGGCCATGTCATCGCAAATCACATGAGACATATTACAAATCTTATACAAGAACAAACAAGTAATGAATGACAAGACATTGAAGACAATGAAAGAAATAGTTACCAAACTCTGCCAGAACCCTTCCTTTGGTCTTCTCAATGTAGACATCACACAGTCATTGACTATTAGTGCAAAAACAATCATTTTAATCTGTTGAATTACAAACGTTTGACATTGTTGAAGCTAGAATACTATGATGACAATAGCAACAAGACCTGCTGATGACACTGAAGCGTTGTCAATGAAACTGCCTCCGTTGACTGAACTTCTGCTAAAAAATATTGCATGAAATTAGAATTCTGCACCCCAACAAGACATTCAAAAGTGAAGTATAATTTCTGCACTTTTTGGGGCTATTTAATTGTGCATTCCCACTTCACCTTGTTTTTACATTTTATTATCCAATACTCACTTAAAAATTCATCTTTAAAAACATTTGCTAAATGTGAGGTTCAGCAAATCACAAAATAATATCCACTTTCATACTGTACATTATAACGTCGTGACACCTAAATTCAATTGTATAGAATTGTGTTTAGTGGTTTTATTTCATAACAAAAAGACTCAATTTTAATATTGGTGTATCGGTATTGGCCAGAATTTGAATTTTGCAGCATCTCTAGCAGACAAATCAAATATACAATGACATGTGCACATGACATGAGTAAACCTCTTCATTTTACAGCAAAACTTTTTTTTTTTTTTTTACCACAATTATTCATACACCCCAACGCACAGGGCAGATGAACTCGCATACAGTAGGTGTGTTACTGGCCAAGCTCTTCCAGCGCACATGGAATTTTTTTCTGCATTTTTTTTAATGACGCCTCTAAAGATGTCTCCATATCAATGTTTTCAACCAGCAATATACTGCCTTATATTGATGCGTGCAACATTATCAGAATTCATGAAATTCATCCAAACACAATGTAGTACACTCACCATGGTTTTATTTAGATTTTATTATTAAATGTATTACTATTATATTTAAATCACTATAATGCATTGTTGTATGAAAAAAGATGCGTCACACATCTCAGATACATTTGAAAACAGTAGAGCCGAGCTCCTCGAGTTTCTGTCCATCACACTTGAGTTCTTACAGTGAATTGTGATTGTGGTAATTCAACAATTAAGCAGATGGCTAGAATAACAAATAGCTGTAATCATTGCTTTGAATGAGTCTGGTTTGTTGGCCTTGGTACACAAACATTAATTGGCAATGAATGCCTTTCCAGTGAAGCACACTAGTTTAAAAGGCTGCAACAGCCACACATGAAAGTGAAGGAACGCCACTCGGCATGAAGCACCTCAGGGAAAGAAAAGAAATGGAAAGGTGCCAAGACTGCAGCCTTGAATCATTACTGAATTTAAAACAACCAACCGAAAAGCAAAAGATCCACAGGGGACCACTGAGATGATTTCACATTATTCTATTAGAACATCTTCTGATTATACAGTAAATGAAATATTTCAGTGATTGTCATTCAAACAGCAGGCTCTCTGCCTCATTTTCCTAACCGAATTTGAAAAGGATCAGTCTGCAGCATAAGTGTATTCAGTTTCTACACCAAAATGAACAACGATTTTTACTAAATTGGTGGCATGCATGTATTATTAATGAAGTTTTGCAACATGTCTACAATACTGCAGCATACCTGGACATATAGATTATTGGTTCGGCTGGAGAGATGCATCGCTGTGGCTGGTCAGGCGGAGGACTTAAAGAAGGGGGAGACTGTTAAAAAGATAAAAGACACAACAGTGATGGTTTATACATAAAAACCTCAATAAAAGACAGCTTTATAAATTTCTTTCAATTATGATAAACCAAATCAATCTTTGAGTTTAGCGCTTTGAGTTTGAGAAAGGCGCATTACTAATAAAATGTATTATTATAATTATTAATCTCATAATCTAGTTCATACCTGACTGTGAGAAATCTCTAAGGATCTGAATTTTCTGATATATGCAAATACAGCATCTCCTCTTCGCTTTATCTTCCTTACATGGGCCTGAAAACAAAAGAGGTTTGATTTGACATAGAAAATGCATAATGGTGTTTATGGCATTCGGGCTTGCAGGGCACTACAGTCATATGGACAGTTTAATACACATTGTCCAAAAATGCAAATGACCTACTGAAGTCCACAGAAATGGGTATTTTGGTCACTTACTTCCAGTTTCTTGATTCTGGCATCATATTGGGGTTCACTATTCACCTCACCGATTCTTTCCATCAAATTCTTCATCTTGAGGTCAGATTGCTCCACTGCAGTCCCAACCTTATCTGATATTATTTTTTCAACCTATCAATAAACAGATCACAACTGGAAGAGATGAAATGAAATTCTGACAAGTGTAAAGCAGGTTTGTGCACCATTCAGAATTGAAGTAACAAAAAATACATGGATTTTTTATTAAAGGAGTAGTTCACTTTTAAAAAAAAACTTTTGCTGATAATTTACTCACCCCCATGTCATCCAAGATGTCCATGTCTTTCTTTCTTCAGTCGAAAAGAAATTAAGGTTTTTGATGAAAACATTCCAGGATTTTTCTCCATATAATGCACTTTACTGGGCAGTGGGCACCAAACGGTTCAAGGTCCAAAAGACAGTTTCAGTGCAACCTGCAAACTGTTCAAAGGGCTTTAAACGATTCCAGACGATGAATAACTGTGCGTCGGCGGCGAGCTCCGGCGAGGGAGCTCCAATCGGAATGCAGAAGTGCTCCGTTTGAGAGGATTCCAGAGAACGCAGTCAAGTAACTTTGGTTCTGACCACATTAGTTCCCAAGCAAAATAAAGGAGAGGTTTATCATTTGAATTTGATAAGAAGGCGCGCAACACTATTTATAGGCAAGATTTTCGCGCTAGAACGCTTGTTTTTCAGCGGGAATGCAAATTAGAATAGCACTTAACCATGAACACAAAAGCCACACCACACAAATGGCTTTTAAAATGGTTTATTTCGTTAGCAAACATGTCACTATAATTGTTAAGTTCTTTCCATCGATCAATTTTCTGCAAAAATAACGATCGACATGCTTGTTTGCTTTACGGCCCCTTTAAATAAAGTTTTAAAAAAGACCACACATTCGATCTACGTCAGAGCATCAGAGCGTCCACAAATCTTTCCACGGCGTCGCTGGCAGGGCCGCGAGAGCGAATTTTGCCGCTCTCGCCGGCGGTGGTGTGAACGTACAGTAAGGGTCTTATCAAGCGAAACGATCGCTCATTTAAAAAATAAATAACAAAGTTTAAGTTTTATAAGCTCAAATGCCCGCCTTGCTCTGTTCTGTGTGACTCTCCTGTTCGAACTCGTTCATCAAAATGAACGAATCTTTTTTCGAGTCATTTGATTCATTTAATGAATGAAATGAACGAATTGACTCGGAAAAAGATTCGTTCATTTTGATGAACGAGTTCGAACAGGAGAGTCACACAGAACAGAGCAAGGCGGGCATTTGAGCTTATAAAACTTAAACTTTGTTATTTATTTTTTAAATGAGCGATCGTTTCGCTTGATAAGACCCTTATTCATCGTCTGGAATCGTTTAAAGCCCTTTGAACAGTTTGCAGTTTGCACTGAAACTGTCTTTTGGACCTTGAACCATTTGGTGCCCAGTAAAGTGCATTATATGGAGAAAAATCCTGGAATGTTTTCATCAAAAACCTTAATTTCTTTTCGACTGAAGAAAGAAAGACATGGACATCTTGGATGACATGGGGGTGAGTAAATTATCAGCAAAAGTTTTTTTAAAAGTGAACTACTCCTTTAAGAACTTATAAATTATTACTGTAAGTTTTGCATGCTTCGTTCTGCTGCTAGGCTGATTACTTTCTACGTTGTAACAGTCTAACTCCCATTTCACAGACAAGGCTTAAGCTAGTCCCAGACGCATGCATATTTAAACTGTTTTAACGGAAAGCAACTTGCACTGGCATATCTTAAAATATGTCAGTTCCATTGTTTTGTCTCAAGATGCACACCAGTATTTTTTTTGTGTTTTTTCTAAGACACGTTTATAAAAGTACCTTAAAGGTGGGGTATATGATTTTCTTTTTTGACCATTTTTTCAAAATCACTTAAAATCCTATTCCTAACCCACTTACAGCCACTGAGTTAGAAGCACTTAAATGAAAATTAAACAATTTCATCATCTGTGGAACGGGCAGGACTCGAAAAACTCCAGCCAATCATTTCCAAGACCACCTAGAATCATTGGACAGTAAGTGCGTCAATCAAACGGTCGTACCATACCCCCCTCCCCCCATCGCGCGCGTGTCCCCTTCGTGCGCAAACTCAAAGCTCGTGACCTAGTCACAGTAAGTGCAAGTCGCCCCGGTACAGAGAGAGAGTGAGAGAGTAAGTGCAAGTTGCTTCCGTTTGGAGAATGATTGTGCGTCCATGTCCTTCGAATGGGTGGAGTCAGGGCCAGCGTTGGAGGAAAGAAGGTAGGACCTTTTGAGTTGTGTATTTTCAAAATCTGCCGGCCGTTTTGCAAATCCCATACCCTACCTTTAAATATCCCAATTGAAGGCCTAATCCTGGCTTAATCTAAGCCCTGTCTGTGAAACCAGGCCTAAATTTCTAAACAGAAGAAACTGGTGTCAATGGTGTCAAATCGTCAACTGTCTGGCTACCAACATTCTTTAAAAAAATCTTCTTTTGTGTTCAGCAGAAGAAAGAAACTCATACAGGTTTGGAAGAACATGAGGGTGAGTAAATGATGACAGAATTTTCATTTTTGGGTGAACTACCCCTTTAAAGGTGCATTGTGTAATATTTAGGAGGATCTGCGCAGACTATTGAAATATTCAAGTCCTTGCTTAAAGCCTGGAACACACCAAGCCGACGCCGACGAACTAGCGCTGATGAAAGCCGACTGTGTTGTCGCTTCGCGTCGGGGTAAAAAGATGCACTTGAACACACCGAGAGAACTACAGGCGACTGTCAGCTAGAATGGGCGTTCTGTGCCTTAGTGTAAATGAGGGTGTACTCACACTAGCCAGTTTGAACCGTGCCCGAGTGCGTTTGACCACCAAAGCGCGGTTCGTTTGACTAGTGTGAGTGCTCCGAACCGTGCCCGGGCGCGGCTCGATTAGCCGGCCCTGGCCCGCTTGGAAGAGGTGGGCCAGAGCACGGTTCAGTTGGACTCGGGCGCGGTTCGCATGCAGTGTGAGCGCTAACCGTGCTGGAGCACGGAACAGGACGCGTGACGTCATGGTTTTGCGACGCTCCAAAACCAACACAGTCCGTAATCAAAGCTACAAAGTCCTTGCTGCACTTCAGCTGGTACCTTGCAAACCTCCTCATACGAGCAGCACGATTACGTGAAAATTTTCGCGCCACTAAGGCGACGCATCTGTTTAACAACAGGCTGTGAGAGGGCTGTGGACCACCGTGGACCAAACGACACAAAATTATCCACAAAGAAAACAGAGCGATGGACTCCATTGTGTTCAGAGAGCGCCGCTCTTCTTGTTTATCCCGAAACCGTCGCACGCACCATAATGACGTAAGCGTGCTCCGGCACGAATGCTGAAACCCTATGTGAGTGCAGGCCAGAGGGGGAGGGGGGACAATCGTACTCGGGCCCGGTTCATGGCAACCGTGCCTAGTGTGAGTACACCCTGAGACAACTGTTTATTTCTGCAGATTTATTCGTCTATATTCGTCATTCAAAAAGGGGAAACCGACGCTGCCGGCTGCAGATACACAAACCATAAACAAAGCAGTGCGTGCTTACCGTTTTAAATATCAATCCTGCTAAACACTTTCTTTATTCCACTCTGCTCGTGTTAATATTGAAATATTCGCCAAGGAACACTCAGGTAAGATGACGTAACGATGCCGACTGCACGGAACCGTGCGGAACACACCGAGGAAACTCAGTCGGCCGACGCACAAAAACTGCCCGACGGCCGACCGTCGGCTTGGTGTGTTCCAGGCTTTAGACGCACTATTATACTTTGGCTTTCAATTCTAGCTGAGCTCTGATATCTTGACCTGTGGGTTATTTCTGTTTTTATTTTGTGTGATATTGTCTGTTTAATAATTTGTTTTGTTTCTTTGTTGGATCTTGTGAAGCACTTTGGTCAATTACGATTGTTTTTAAATGTGCTATATAAATAAAATTGAACTGAACTGAACTGTTATGTTTTTATTACCTTAGAACAGGGGTGGGGAACCTTTTTCCTATCAAGGGCCATTTACAATTTTTAAACATTCTTTAAGGGCCATTGTAATGAGGTTCAGTCTTCAGTGTTTGGAAGGAAGAAGAGAGGTTCGGCGTGACTGGGACTCGTACGTTTTATTCAGAGGTTTAGTGGTAAAAAAAGAGGTGGGTAAACTATAAATTCTGGTGGACCACATCCTGATGACATTGCTATAGGCAGGGCTCGAGATTAAGCCTTTCATACGCTTGTCAAAAAAGTTTCTCGTCCGAATTTTTTTTATTTTTTTTTATTCTGAAACAATATTCTCATCAGTGTTCAATTAGCTTTGATATTTAAATCGGCATATTGTAATACTTGCACCTTTAAAGGGCATCCCCTCCCCCAATATTATTAAATGTATGCTTCATCTTTCATTTTAAATTCCTAAATTTGATCAATAAATTAAATTATTTCGAATAATAAGACACTATAGGGCTGATCAAATTAAATCATTTACACTGAAAAATTACAATTGCATAAAATAATGTTATGAAATAGATTTAAATTTACAAATTAGAAACGTTGGAAAGAATGATCTACTTTTAAACATAACACAAACCGCCATTAGGTGGCGGCAGGCGACCGTCTTAATGAGTGAGTCATTGATTCATTCATGATTCAAACGATTTGTTCAAACGGCTGATTCATTCAAGATTGAGACAGATGTTTATGAATGGGTCATTGAATCTTTGACTCAATCGATTCGTTCAAAACGCTGAATCATTCAGTAATGAAAACAGTGAGTGTTCCTGTGAGATGCCCCGTGGTTCTGCTGTGATTTTTGTTTGGAACTATTTTCGCTGCTGAAACAGAACAAAAACAGCCAATATTGCATCTAAAATGTAAGTGACTTAATTTTAACTGTTTATTGAACTGTTGTTGGAAATTAATGTCACATTTTCAATCGTGATGGTGTTCAGGAAAAATAATTGAGGTTGCTTAACATATGTTAAAAATATAAAAACTCCACATTTAGATTTTTATAGGCAGTATGTTGTTAACTGAGTGTGTGTGTGCGCTTAGTGTAGATTTCTGCTCGAGAGGCTGCGCGAGCGTCAACAGCGCAACCGTCAGTAATAGTCAACAACACTGACAGTAATGCAGCGCAATATGAAGAGTTCGTCTTAGGTTTAACAACCTATGAAACTAATAATTAACAATATGAAACTAAAACGACATAGCTTAATTTATAGCTATTTAGGCCCTGTCCACACGGACACGGGTATTTTTATAACCGTGACTTTTTTTACGCGGTTCGGCCGTTCGTCCACACGAAAACGCACTGAAACCGAACATTTTTGAAAACCCCTGCCAAGGTGAGGATTTTCAGAAACGCCGGTTACAGTGTTGTCGGGTAGACAGTGAAACCGGGGGTTTTGCCTTGCGACGTCAGAGTTTGCGCCGTTATCCGCTGTGTTTGACGTCAGATTTGCGCTTCTGATTGGCCAACGTGGCTTTACGGTTAAGGTTTATATCGCCGCCTGCTGGCATGGCATGCTCTTGACCGCGCTTGATAGCGTGTTTTTACGTTTTCATGTAGGCGGAGACCGAGCATGTGTGGACGGGATTTTTTTTTTAAAACGCTGTAGGAAAAACTCTGGTTATAAAAATACCCGTGTCCGTGTGGACAAGGCCTTAGAGGTGGATAAAAGCACACAAACCGGGAACCGGCAAACGTTTAAACCACTTTAATACATTAATACGCAAATGACAAAACGAAAGTAAAAGCAGTAGCTCCTCGTGGACGACGACCACACACACATAAAGTAAAGTCCATGCCTGGTCCTCCGCTGTCTTCGTTCCGATCCTTTTACGCGCCCCGAAGCTGATCAGTGAGAAACTTGAAACCGGTGCGGCGCGCGCGCCCCCGAAGCTCATCCGTGAGAAACTGAAACCGGTGCGCAGGTGACTCGCGCTACTGGCCTCGTCCTGCTTGCCACTTTGCCTATTTTGTGTTTTCTGTCACAGGAAAGGTAATGGCTGAGATTTTTGGTTCTGAAGTTCTTTTTTTTTTTTTTTGGGAGGATTTGACTCGCGGGCCGCATCAAACTGTTTTGCGGGCCGGTTACGGCCCGGGGGCCGGACGTTCCCCACCCCTGCCTTAGAATGAGCCATTTCTATCTACATACACCGCGGGTCCCCTTACATTGAAATGCGCCGACATTTTTCTACAGTAGCCCTAAATGGACAAACTCGTTTTGTCACTATGTTGTTCTTCGTGCAAAGAAGCTAGCTAAAGTCAGCGAATAAAACACTGACACAATGATGAACAAGTAACAATAATATTCGCAATAACATATCATTTTCCTGAATAATTAAGTAAACATGATTTCTTAATTTATCTTTGTAAAGAAACCTCATTGCTTAACTGGCTACCCTCTGCGGTCTCAGACGACGATATAATTTCCTGTCGGCCACCGTAACTTCTGTTGGACCATATTCACAACCTCACCACCAGATCCCGCTAAAAATTACACAGTGCACCTTTAAGAAAGATAGTAGAATAATTTCAAAACTTTCAACTAAAATTTATTTGGAAAGTAGCCATGTAATATGTGACGTGCAGTCTGTCAGACATTATAAAAAATAAATCCCTTTAGGTTGATAAAAGATCTGATCACTCTTGTACACCTGACATACTGTAAATAAATTAGCTTTAAAGTTGGCAATTTGCAATAATCTTTTCTCTTCTCTATAGTGACGTATAGTGAAACGGCTCCTCAAACAAAAAATATAGGATGGGACTTGATTTTGTCCATCGGGAATTGATTGGATGGTTGTGGTTTGCTATTGCTGTGATGCAATGTGAGTGACAGGTTATCCCGCCCTCACACCAGTAACATAGGCTATGTCATCAGAGAAGAGAAGAGATTAAGATTACGTGCGCGCATTAATTATAATGGAATATAAAAAATAATGATGTGCACGGATTAATCATTTAAAATGAATGCTGCTATATTTTATTTAAAAAAATTAAGCATTGTCAATTTTGATTTTGATTGTTGACTTTAACTTTATGGTCTATGGTGGAAGACCATGACATTTCCCAGAATGCTCTTTACCCTAATGGCCGGTTTCACAGACAAGGCTTAAGCTAGTCCCAGACTACAATGCATGTTTGAGCTGTTTTAACTGAAAGAAACTTGCACTGGCATGTCTTAAAATCGGTCAGTACCATTGTTTTGTCTTCTTTTTTTTTAAATGCCCTAATTGCATCCTTCGGATGAGATGTTAAAGCGAGGTCCTGACTCTGTAGTCATTAAAAATCTCAGGATGTCCTTCAAAAAAAGAGTAGGGGTTTAACCCTGTCATCCTGGCCAAATTTGACCATTGGCCTCTATCCATCATGGCCTCCTAATCATCCTCATATATATACTCTCTCCTCTCCACCAATAAGCTGGTGTGTGGTGGGCGTTCTGGTGCAATATGGCTGCCGTCGCATCATCCAGGTGGATGCTGGACATTGGTGGTGGTTGAGGAGATTCCCCCTTCTATGTAAAGTGCTTTTAGTACCCAGAAAAGCACTAGGCCTATATAATTGTAACAAATTATTATTAATTGAACTAAGGCCTAATCCTGGCTTAGTCTAAGGCTAAGCCATGTCTGTGAAGCCGGGCCTAAATGTCACCACTTTTTGTAATGCTGTATTGAAACTAAAATCTTTTTGATTGCTGTTTTGTCTTTTGACTGTACTTAACTTAATACAGATGAATGTCCATCCATCCATAAAAAAAAAAAAAAATCTCAGTAATTCAGAGAATAAATAAATGCACATTACAGAAACACGTTTGTGTAACTGTATGGGATTTCTTAGAAATTGCAATTCAGTAAATTATTCCTGTTATTCAAATTCATAATCAACACCCTGTGAGTTGTGGCCAATTCAATATTAATTCCAGCTCATTAACTAAAAGGAGAATTTTTCACAGCCTTAAATGTAAAGTACAATAAAAGTACTTTCATTAAAAAAAAAAAAAAACATATTGAAGTTATAATTATCGTTGAAGAATAACATGCAAAGGACGTAAATGACAAACTTGCCTCGGACCGAGGGAGCTTGTTCGGTCTCTGCCATGTTTCCTCTTCATTTCTGCTCCTTTTCATAACTGAGATATAAAGATGTAAAGCACATTTCATTTCGAATGATTCGCGATAACATATTATAATTAAAACCAAACAAATTAGAGATAGAATGAATCATTAGTTACTTTACCACCGTCAATATAAACATTTGCACTTCGTTTGAGATTAACCAACGATTCAATCGTAGCCGTTTTATTTATCTTTACTAATAACGTTACAAGCATTTGGCTCAAAGCAGGTTATCGAAGACAATCCTATGCTTTTTATAATTCAAAATCAATGAAGGGCTTTCTATATATAACATACATCCTGAAGGAAACAAGCAAGCCGGAAGTGACGTGCCTAAACAGTATATGGCAACAAGATCGCCACTTATAAGCGCTAGCAACACTTCCAGCTGCACGAATGGTAACGGCCTTTCCTATGAATCGCAACTCAAGCTAACGTTACATTCGACCATGACGAACTGACAACTGCAGCTAACACTGATGCTAAAATTTACTCCACTATCCTGGTTAGGAGCAAACGATGAAATGTCCAACCAATGTGCAATCCAAATGGCTTACTAAATCTGCTGGCCTTGAAAGTAAGCTTTCTATGACCATGCAGGCATATTATAACGCGTTTTCGAAACCACTGACTCTAGCACTTGCCATACAACGCGCGTGACAAACTCCAAACGGAGCCCGCGAATCCCATCTGTGACACCGCGTGCGTTGCCTTTGAACAAAACAAACAAAACAAAAAACAACCCACCTTAACAGAATGCCGAATTTGTAGCAGCTAGTGGACAGCTTATTGTGTATGGTCCCTGGGCGGGATTTCCTGCTTCTTTAAATAATATAAGTCCCGGGCAAGCGATGCACGCTTTGTGAATGAATCGTTTTTGAGCCGGATCTTTGCAATGAATTCGTTGAACCGGTTCACAAAACCGGTCTGTACGATTCGTTCCCTATGATTCGTTCACGAATGTGGCTAACGAATCAGAGGATTTCACTGATGGAGCGAAAAGTGAGCAAACTGAATAACAGAAAGAATAATATTTTACAAATATGATTGTATGACAGTTTTATTTGTAAATTAAGTAATATAAAACGTAGGCTATTTGTAAGATATTTTTAGTATTAGCCTATAATTAAAATGCAAATTATATTTAGTTTATACACTGACACGATTTTTAATAAAACATTTTAAAAAGAGAAACGTTTAGATCTAAGCCTAATGGGTTTATTGGACGTAGAAAGCATCTTGACGCGTCATGGCTGAAAATAATCACTGAATCACACACTTTAAAACGAACTTTAAGAAATGACTGCGGACCTTCTCTCACTTGTTGACAATCAGCAGTGCCATTTTTTTTTCACGATCGTATTTTTTTTTACTATTGGCTGCTTTTTTTATTATAGATTTCGCTCAACCTACAGCATGATGTTTAGTTTAAACTTTAGAGGAATGAAACTATTTTTTTCTCCAACAAATTGCTTAGCTGCCTGAATGTAATCTACATTAACTGTTTCTCCTCAGTCTCACAAATTCAAGTTGGCCCCTTAAAAGCGCCACCCAGCGGTTGGAGATGTTTTTGGAGACTGTTGACGTCCCTGTCCCATGCACAGGAGTTCTGTGAGAGAGCACCATACACACATTTTACAGTGTGAGGCTTGCTCGGAAACGTAATGAAATGTTTTCCCCTCTAAAAATACCCAATTAACAACGTCTTTGATTGAGATATAAAATATTGTAATCAAGGTGTACCCTAGGGCCAACAGGCATAACCAATTCACACCGAACCTCTTGGGTGCAGCAAATGAATGCTGCTGTGCGGGAAAGTAGCCTATTTCCATTTAATGATTATGAAACTAGTGTCATTGGATCCACACTACAGAAAGGTGTCAAACCAAAATGTATTCAGACACCTTCAACATGTCTCACATTATCACAGTTTATTTGCTATAGTTTAAAATGGTAATAAAATATGACAAGAACTCAGAGTTATCAAATCAGTTGATATTTTGGCCCTCCTTCTGTTACACTGTCTCACAAATGAATTTGAATAGCTGTCAGTTGTCAGCTGTTAAATTTAAGTATATTAGATAATACCAATTTAGGTCAACATTACCAAGCAATGCTTCATTTTGTTCAGTCTGTGGTGTAAAAAGGTCACATTAGCAATTAAAGAAAAAACACTTAAGCAAAACGGTCAGGTCAACGTGAATAATTTTAGGTCCCAAATTTTTATCCATTTTACTGTAGTCCACTGAAGAATTTTTGGGTAGGCCTATAATATGTGTTTACTTTATTTTATTTATGCGTTTACTATCCTCACTCACATAAATTAACTATAGTGTCCCCCACCCACTAGTAAAAAATGAACAAAAATGATATCCGGTGTCTGAATAATTTTTGGTTTGACTGTAGTGCAGGGGCCACAACTAGCTAGTAGCCACATTACCCTACATTGAGACAGCCTGTCCCTGTTTATTTAGAATAGTGGTAAATCTAAAAAATAAATAAAAAAATCCTTCCAAATGACCAATACTTTATTTTAATTTACTTTTGGTTTCCCTCAGTTTTGAATATTTGATTGCATTCTGGAATAGGATATCATTCTGGAAATGTACTTCTTTGGTTAATCCATTGATTTTGAGTTTTGAGGGTTGTGTATGTGTAAGTTTGTAATCTTAGTTTGCACTGTCTTGCTGTAACTGCTCACATTTTCTTTGTTTTGCATTGCAGGGGCATTCACTTTGCATTACTTCTCAAACAGACATGATACCGCTTCCCTGCATTCACGCATGACTCTATAACCAGGCAGCACCACAGTAGATAGTATGAAGCTGAAATACAAAACCCTCAGGGAAAACCCAGAGCTGCAGTTTGAGCGTGAACATTGCTTGATTATATATATATATATATATATATATATATATATATATATATTATATATATATATATATATATATATATATATATATATATATATATATATATATATATATATATATATATATATATATATATATAATGTCCAGAAAATATGGGCCAGTATGATGGTTGAATGGACCAAAATAGAAGGGGTGCTTGGTTGCTTACATTTTGTGTGTGTGTGTGTGTGTGTGTGTGTGTTTGACATGTAGAGCTAAAATAGAAACATTTGCAGGAGTGTTAAAAAACTACACCAGCTAAGAACTTCACAGGCAGGAGGAGCGTGTTCTCCTTTGAGGTGCATATAGCGATGTTCTGCACCTGCTGGAGTAATGAGTAAACCATGTTCATTGCGATTGCAGAAAATGAGAAAATGGCCATTGGGAGGATAATGGGAGTTGGGGGCTGAGTCTGACTGTGTAGCAAGTGTTCTGGCTCTGATAATCTTCCATGAGCTTGAGCTTGAGTCCTTCCCACAGGATCTGGTGACATCACACAGAGAGCTTTCCTATGAGTCATGCCTGTGTTTTGAATGCGTAGTTTGAATATACCGTGGCTCATGTCACGTTTACTGAAATGATTCAGAGGGGGTTATGATGATAAAATAGAGAGGTAACATGTCATCATGTGGTGCTGTTTTGGGTGTGAATGGAGCTGGAGCATCTGAGAATCAAGAAATATATATATATATATATATATATATATATATATACACTCACCGGCCACTTTATTAGGTACCCCATGCTAGTAACGGGTTGGACCCCCTTTTGCCTTCAGAACTGCCTCAATTCTTCGTGGCATAGATTCAACAAGGTGCTGGAAGCATTCCTCAGGGAGTTTGGTCCATATTGACATGATGGCATCACACAGTTGCCGCAGATTTGTCGGCTGCACATCCATGATGCGAATCTCCCGTTCCACCACATCCCAAAGATGCTCTATTGGGTTGAGATCTGGTGACTGTGGAGGCCATTTTAGTACAGTGAACTCATTGTCATGTTCAAGAAACCAATTTGAAATGATTAGAGCTTTGTGACATGGTGGAAGTAGCCATCAGAGGATGGGTACATGGTGGCCATAAAGGGATGGACATGGTCAGAAACAATGCTCAGGTAGGCCGTGGCATTTAAACGATGCCCAATTGGCACTAAGGGGCCTAAAGTGTGCCAGGAAAACATCCCCCACACCATTACACCACCACCACCAGCCTGCACAGTGGTAACAAGGCATGATGGTTCCATGTTCTCATTCTGTTTACGCCAAATTCTGACTCTAACATCTGAATGTCTCAACAGAAATCGAGACTCATCAGACCAGGCAACATTTTTCCAGTCTTCAACTGTTCAATTTTGGTGAGCTCTTGCAAATTGTAGCCTCTTTTTCCTATTTGTAGTGGAGATGAGTGGTACCCGGTGGAGTCTTCTGCTGTTGTAGCCCATCCGCCTCAAGGTTGTGCGTGTTGTGGCTTCACAAATGCTTTGCTGCATACCTCGGTTGTAACGAGTGGTTATTTCAGTCACTGTTGCCCTTCTATCAGCTCGAACCAGTCTGGCCATTCTCCTCTGACCTCTGGCATCAACAAGGCATTTCCGCCCACAGAACTGCCGCTCACTGGATGTTTTTTCTTTTTCGGACCATTCTCTGTAAACCCTAGAGATGGTTGTGCGTGAAAATCCCAGTAGATTAGCAGTTTCTGAAATACTCAGACCAGCCCTTCTGGCACCAACAATCATGCCACGTTCAAAGTCACTCAAATCACCTTTCTTCCCCATACTGATGCTCGGTTTGAACTGCAGGAGATTGTCTTGACCATGTCTACATGCCTAAATGCACTGAGTTGCCGCCATGTGATTGGCTGCTTAGAAAGTAAGTGTTAACGAGCAGTTGGACAGGTGTACCTAATAAAGTGGCCGGTGAGTGTATATATATATATATATATATATATATATATATATATATATATATATATATATATATATATATATATATATATATCAGCTATAGCTGATCACTATTAGTCAAGAATATTTTTTTCCCTCCATCCATACTCATATTTAGAAACTGCTACATTAAAGGGATAGTTCACTTCAAAATAAAAATTCTGTCATCATTTACTCACCCTCAAGTTGTTTCAAACCTGTATGAATTTCTGTCTTCTTTTGAACACAAAGGAAGATATTTTGAAGAATGTTGGTAACAGACAGTTGATACCCCATTGACTTCCATAGTAGGAAAAAAATAGCCTACTGGAAGTCAATGGTATAGGCTACATCAACTGTCTGGTTAGGTTACTGTCACTGACATTCTTCAAAATATCTTCCTATGCCTATTGTTTGCCTTCACTATCTGTATGTTG